GGTCGGCACTAAATTCTGCCGGTCGGCAGAAGCTCCCTGCAGAAGACAGTTTTGACAGCAACAGAGAACAGACAGCATATGGCATGGGATTTCAAGCACATGTATGCATGGACACACTCCCTATCATGTAATGGACTCAAGGGAACATGGCCCTCGACCCTCGGGCCACCAATCACGCATTTCGATGCATGATGGCCAAAGAGTCAAGTATGCATTTCAATGTCAAATCCAATGCACACAAAACATACAAGGGACCCAACCTCAATCAGGTTGGTCAAGAGCAAGGCAAGGCACAACAATGCACATGCGACCTAAGCATGCAAGCAAACATACAACATGCAATACAACTACATGGCACACACAATGCTAACAACTATAATATGCAATGCAATGGCTAAAATGGCATATAGAATGCAACATGGACTTATACTAACATGAGAGAGCCTCAGCCACACTCACATAGGAGGCCATCAGATGAAAACAAGACAACTCGAAATGCGTGCACGCGTGCACGCAAACCGAGGACCGACCCTCAGGCACCAAAATGCCACTCTAATGAGACATGGCAAAGACATGGAATATGATATGCAAACATGCAAAAATCAGTAGCAAAATGAGGAGCAAAATAGCCCCGAAACGAGGCGAAATGACACCCGATGCATGGAATTTCTCCCGAAATGCAAAACTAAGTACATGAAATGGCTTACAGCTATACAAAGCATGCATAATTGGTACATGGAATGAAAAGACAGAAGTAATGCAGCCCCAAAATAAGCATTTTTACAGTTCAAAGCATGGCCAAACAGTAAGCACAAGTGGGACTAAATTAGCATGCAAAAATGGCCCTAAACATGAGGTAATGAAGCAAGTGGTAGATGCAAAGCCCAAACAGAAAAAGGCTCTTCTACAACACTGAAGAGGGACCAAAAATATGACTACTTACAGTTTATGGCAACCCTCAAAACAATATACAAGTATGGTCAACATGCTATGCAAGGTAGGGCCCAAAAGAGGTTAAAACACAAAGAAACACAAAGTATACAAAAAATTCATCAAACAGCCAAAGACCCTTAATGAAACATGAAGAATGGGTCAAAATAAGACTGTTTTCAGTTCTATAAAAAGACGAAAAACATAAACATGATGGGCTAATAAATCATGCAAAAATGGGGACCAAAGAGGGATATAATGACAAGTGGCACATGGAGGTCTCAAACAGTGATGAGCCCTTCTTCAATGTTGAAGAGGGGCTCAAAATAAGCTCACTTGCAGTTTACATCATGCTCCAAAACAGATCACACGTAGGCCAAAAATATTATGCAAAATTATGGCATAAAGAGGGCTAATGAAGGAAGTGCTAGCTACTGTCCTCAAACAGCAAGAGGTCCTCAATCAAACATGAAGAGGACCTCAAAATATGATGAGTTACAGTTTGGGTCGGAGCCCAAAAATGCAAGCAACTATGGCTTAGATATGAAGCAAGAAAAGACTAGAAAAGGGAAGAGGAGGACTCACCCTTGAAGACCAGCAAACCAACACCTCTTGGACCAAGTTTAGGTGCTCCTAAGCTCTGAAGAACATCCTCAAGTTGCTGCAATGGAGTAAAGATGCCTTGTGCTATGAGTTGATGAAGAAATGGGCCAAGAACAAGGGTGTTTGATGGTTGAATGGGAGAGATATAGTGAGAGATGAAGGGATATATGTATGTATATATCAGATATATCTATATATCTCTGGTTTTTTGTTCCAAACATCCAACCAAAACAATGGAGGAGGAGAGGCCCCTTATATAGGCAAGACTAAGCTTCTAAGACAAGCTACAAAGGGTCAAAGGGGTCTAAGGGGAGGTCAAGGCTTATTGGAGAAGCTAGGACAGCTGGTAAGCTTCTTGGGGAAGCCAAGACAAGGGGTCAAGGCTTCCTCAAGAAGCCTTGAGCAAAGGGTGCAAGAAAAGGGGTCAAAGGGTGTGCAAAGGGTGCAAAACAGCCACACACGTGCATGGGGAGCAGGGTCTATGCATTCCAGCTGCCTCAGCTGGCATCCATTCAATCTGTAGAATACTCCGGAAGGTCATCGGCTAGCAAACTTGGTCGGTCAGCCATCTTTTCTGGCCGGTCGGCAATCTATTTGGCCGGTTGGCCATCTATTTGGTCGGTCGGCCATTTGTTTTGGCCGGTCGGCAGGAAAAATCTGATCTGTAGGTCCAACTTCAAATGGGCATAACGTCTTCATATGAACTCCTTTTCAGGTCATTCTTGTGTCAAAATTGAATCCCCGGAAGTAAGCTTTCCAATGGAACCAGCCTTGCATCAAAATTCCAACTGTGCAAAAAGTTATGATTGTTTTAGTGAAGGCTGCTCAGTTTCGGTCCAACCGGGATGATGCCCAACTTCAACCAATCATATCTCCCCCCTCCGGTCTCAGATTTAAGAGATTCTTGAGTGCACAATGAAGCCCCGGAAGTCTTATTTCCAACGGTGGTGACCTCATAACTAAACTCCAAGTGTACAGATAGATACGCCCGATTCAGCGAGGGCTGCTCGACTCGCTTCTACCCGGATTCATGTCGAACTTCTCCCAAACTGGTTTTCTCCTCTCCTTTCCTCTCTTCTTCAACTCCAAACCCCTAAACAAAGTGCTTTGAAGGATTTGCCTCTCTCCTTGCCGAAGAAACTGAACATTTGCCCTGCACACCTTTCTCCGCCAAGCAAAACATCAGTGGTGCCCAAGTCTTAAGGGCGGTCAAAAATGGGGTGTCTACAGAATGAAAGAGGCTAAATTCTCTAGAAACACTCATGAAAACCAGCAGCGTTCAAGGCCAAAATGAACACAACAGTGAGAACCACGATGTGTTAGAAGATATTTTGTTTGAAATCTATTGTCTTGTCTTACACAAACAGCTGAATAATTCAAGGAATCGCGTTCATTGGTTAGCTAGTAAGTCCGATAGGTTATCACTAGGAAAGGTTCAAGGCCGAAAGCTACCTATCCTGATACAAGATATTTTTGAATTATACTCTTTCGATAAAGTCTGCATATTGTTGCATTTCTGTTGTCATCAAATTCCATTCATGTGGGGGATTGTTGGAAATGGTTGAAATATTCTAAGTAAAAACAGATTTTTTTCCTAACTTTGGTCTATTATTTAGGTGGGACCTATGCGTCAATTTTGACTGGTCTAAGTGGTAACGCGTTTTGTCAATTATTTAGGTGGGACCTGTACATCAAAATTGGCGGGTCTAAGTGGTAACGCGTTCTATGCTGCGTTGTAAATCACGTGATATATTTGGTTGCTCAAAACTATTATCAGGTGAATGGAAAATTAAAGCCAAAGTGTGCTCCATGGAAATGGAGTTTTGGTAAAAAATCCTTAAAGGTTTGGGAAATAACTTGTCCCACATTAATTTGGTGGGAAGTTTTGAGTGGGTTTATAAGGCATGGGATTGGACCTTGGGGTGTGCCCCAAGGGGTACCCAAGTTTTGTAGAGAGGGCGGTTATAGGCAAAATGGGCTAGACCTATTGGACCAAAAAATCACCACACATGCGCGCCCGCACCGCCGCAGTCCGTCCGGTCGGGCGGGCTGGGCTGGGCTGGGCTTGGGCGCAGGTGCGTAGTGTGTGGTTGGATTGAGCTTGTTCAGTCCAATACTAATCTTTTTGGGCCAAAAACATTTGAATTTTATTTTTTCTAAAATATTTCCAATTTGATTTTCGGAATTTAAATTCAAAATTGGTTCTGGTTTTCTCCCACCCGAACAGATTTGACTTTGTTTCAATTCAAATAACCCGGACAGATTCAAATCTGTGTTATTCGGTTTTTATCTGTTGAAACTTGAACTCAATCAGTATCAATCCAAACCCAACAGGTTCAGTACCTGTTCAAACAGGTATGCTACTTGTTCAATTCAAATTAAACAGGTGCCATTACATCTATAAATACACCAGCCCTCATTTGATGATATTTACACAATTTTCGTCCATATTATTCTTTAATTACTCTTTACATATTGCTGCATTATTTTCCTTTTGAGAAATAGTGTAAATACTTAGTGTGTTCGTTGAACAAATAAATTGTAGTGCTGCATTTATTTGTTATTGATCATTTCATCCTAGGAGATAGACGTCCATATTCTAAAAGCACCGTAAAGAGAACGAATCTGTCTTAAGGACACAGTGTCAAACACTGGACTTGATCAGAATAATATTCAAGATATTAATCAAGTAAGTTATTTATTTATTTTCTGTTTTTATTATTTATTTAAATCAGATTTTAATTTTATTTTTGTAACAAAATAAAATCTGTTTTTATTTATTTCATTTTATTTCAAGTTTGATTTTTGTAATCAAAAAATTTTCTCTCATATCCTTTATTTCTTTTATATTATGTTTGTCATTTAGTACCCAAACAGAATTAATTAATTTAAATATAGTGAAGATTGGTCAACATTAGTGTTGGTTGATAGAGATCAACAAACAATTCCTTATTTATGCCCTGATGCAATTTAATATGGGTCTTATAACACTTTCTTCAAATAGGTTCTTTTACTTTACATCACTACGCAGGACAATATATTATTTATTTTCATTATTTTCTTATGTCTAAATATAGGAATGTCTACATAAGTGAGGATACAAAATGGTAACAATGATGTATATTATCTCTCTCTCTCTCTCTCTCCTAATAAAATCAATGATGTATAATCTCTCTCTCTCTCTCTCGTTTGTTTGAGAATTGATTTTTTTTAGTAATTTTTTAATTTTTTACAAAAAAAAAAAAAAAGAGTGTAAAAATAGAAAGGATATGTTGACTTTTTGTATTAATTTTTTTTTTTTTGGCTATTTTAGCCAATTGCCAAACATAATCCAAACTTAACTAGAAAAAAAATAAAGCAAAAACCAAATAACGAAGAAAAAGTTGACCCAAACAGGGCCTTACTTCAATTTTAGTTTGGTCCAGGTTACTACAGGCTTCATAGGTGTGAATCTTCACCTTTTTGAGATGGGCTGTTCAAGAATGGGCCTGGGCCCTCTGTATAAGCCTTTGTTGCGTACAGCTCTTAACATACACCCACACCACACTGTATACAGCAGCGAAGACCACTGTATGGCACTCTACACTTCCTCTCTCACTCTCCCTTCAATTCCCGCCAAAATTCCAAGCTCTAATGGCTGTATCCTACGCACCTCCTGCGCTATCCTACACCATCCTTCTTCAACAGCTTCTGTCTCTTCGAAACTCGTCCCTTCAAAGACCTTCTCGAACCTTCTCAGGGCCACACCACCTCAGAAATACGTCTACCCTGATCCAATCCCCGAATTCGCAATCTCTGTGACTCTCTCTCTCTCTCTAGAAAGCAACTCACAAAGTTTACATGTTTATGTGAATATAATCTCAATGTTGGTGTGTATTATGTGGTGTTACAGGAAACGCAGAAATTCAGGGATGAGCTACTGAAGAAGCTATACAAGGACAAGGACACATTTGGGGATGATCTCCAAATCGTCGTAAACGTTTGCGCTGAGGTAATTCGGTTTTGTGTTTTTTTTTTTTTTTCTGAATTCATTTACTTGTTCTTGGAATTTGGTTTGACCCAAAACAATCACTATAAAAGATTAACTCTATTGCCAATCTAAGATGAAATTGAGTTCGGATTTGGTAAATTTGAAAATCTCATTCCGGGTACCTAGTTCAATGACAGTCTGAGAAAAATATAAAAGCAAAAAATTAGGTTGATTAGATGTCAAATCATATGTATACATTATAAGAAATGGACAGTTCATTTTTAAAAGCATGTAGGATAATTGATGTTGGATAATTTGAGTTTTTGCGTCGATAATTTTCTTATTTAGTTGAATAAGTTGAACAGTTTAGATCACCCAACTGAGTCCAAGTTTGTCTGATAATGGATCAACTTGACCGTGAAGTTGAGTTCTTCAACTTTAGCAAATCCGGACTCAATGAAATTAGCTTTTTTTAACTCCTGTGTCATCATTTATTTGGACTAAAGTTGAATGATTTATAAAAAAAATTTCATGTAGTAGAGCATAAAAAAACTAGAAGGGAGATTTTTTCATTAGAATTTTTTTTTCACTTGCTAATTTAATTATTAATGAGGCAGATAAGCTATTGCAGAGGAATTTGAACGTGATGTGCTTGATAAAATGTCTTACAGAGAATATGATTCTCTTGACACTACTAGTGTAGCATTGAAGTTGGATCCCTACTTTGTGCATTTCTTATTCTTTTATTTATTTATTTATTATTTTATATGTTTTTTTAATGAAAGTATTGTTGGAAACTAGTTTTGCTAAGGTTCAGAGTGATTCTGCATTTCTTATTCTTTTATTTATTTATTATTATTATTATTATGAAAGTATTGCTGGAAACTAGTTTTGCTAAGGTTCAGAGTGATTTGCTGTGGAGGTCAGCGATGGTTCAGACTGAGACGTGGCAGCATTTAGCGATGGTCGCTTATAAGCTTGACATTATTTTAGTACTTGGGCGATGTGGGACTTTGACACAGTGACGTTAAGCCATTTTATTATTATTTTTTTTTTTATAAAAGTATTGCTAGAAACTAGTTTTGCTAAGGTTCAGAGTGATTCGAGGTGGAGATCAGCGATGGTTCAGACTAAGACGTGACAACATTTAGCAATGATCGCTTATGTGCTTGACATTATTTTAGTACTTGGGCTATGTGGGACTTCGACACGGCGACGTTCAGCCGTTTTATTATTATTTTTTTTTATGAAAGTATTGCTGGAAACTAGTTTTGCTAAGGTTCAAAGTGATTCGCAGTGGAGGTCAGCGATGGTTCAGAGTGAGACGGGATGTGGGATTGACATTATTTTAGTACTTGGGCAGCAATGTGGGACTTCTCTTTACATGCTCCCTCACGCCCATCGTGTGTTGAGTATCCACACCATGAGTCAAGAATGGAGGCTGCAGAGTTTGGGCTACATATTTTCTTTCCAACCTAGGGAGGCTGTGTTATTAACTTTGGTAGTTGGTTGTTGGCAAGCAGAGGTTGGCAATGATAGTTGGTTGTTGGCAAGTAGCTATCCCGTTTGTTTATAAATTGGGAAGAGCTGTGAGCTGAATTGAAAATCAGAGTTGTGAAGAGTGTATCTGTGAGTTGAGTTGAGAGAGTGAGCTCATCCTTCTCTGTTTTTGTATTGTTACACAATTTATAGTGCATTCTCATTTCTCTTCCCATGGATGTAGGCATTGGGCCAAACCATGTAAATATTTGTCTCATTTGTGTCTATGATTGCTTATTTATCATTCCTGAGTGTGTTGAAACCTAACAAAGTGGTATCAGAGCATCGTTGGGTATTTTTTTTTCGAAAACAGGGTGTGTTCTGAAAAATTGCCCATAATTCAAAGTGGCCGAAATCCACTTTTGATCACACCAGGTTGAAGTTCTCGACGAGACAAGCACAGGGGTGAAAACCATGTTGAAAAAGTAGCTTGGGCGAAGCCGCACGCGCCACACACGCCTGGTGACGCCGTTCTCACGCGCTCCCACTCTCCCACGTGTCGCATGCGCTTCCAAAGGAAGAAGACGCGTGATCTCACGCGCAAGCATGCGCCACACTTGCACAAACCAGACGTTGACGTCATCCTACCAGTGACGGTCACTGGAGTGACGCCATCTTACCGTCGATCGCTAATGTCATCCTAGCCAAGCTGAGCCGGAGTCGAGCCGCTGAAGTCGGCCGATCTGGAGGAATTATTTGGTGCTTCTCAACCGCTCCAGATTCTGTCAATTTGAACCGTTCAACCCGTTTTGGCTTAATCTGAGCCATTCTGAGTCCGTTTTTGACGATTCAATTATGCTTTCCAACTATTTGGAATATTCCGAACACATCCATACGATCAAATTTTGCAAATCAAATTTGAAAAATTTGCAGTTTTATTTTGACAATCCGAAGTGTTTTTTGAGCTACTTTGACTAGTCTGAACTCAACGGCGGAGTTTGATTTTTTCAAAAGAGAGATCATTTCTCCATAGAGATAATTATTGATGGAGAAATCAATATCGACTTCAGGATCCTTGATCAAGCTAAAATCCTTCCAACTATGCAATTTGGAAGCCCAGAATGGAGGATGTCCTGTATTGCCGAGATTTGTTTGATTCCATTGAGCTTAATGAAGTTAAGCCAGCTGCAGAGAAGGATGTAGACTAGAAGCGGAAGAATCGAAAGGCCATTGGTCAGATTAGACAATGGATCGATCATAGTGTCTTGCACCATGTCACCCAAGAGACTGATGCCTATGCTCATTGGACAAAATTAGAAGGCATGTACCAGTCAAAGACTGTTCGGAATAAAGTTGTCCTGATGAGAAGGCTCATAAATTTGAAGCTGAAAGGCGGTGTCTCTATTGCAGAACACACTAGTGAGTTCCAAAATCTGGTAAACCAACTAGCAACTGTCAAAATAGAGCTGGATGATAAGATGTAGGCCCTATTGTTGCTCAACTCCTTGCCAGATAGTTGGGAGACGTTGGTGGTGTCCCTCAGCAACTCTTCACCTGAAGGAAGACTGACCACGAACATGGTCACCGATGCTTTATTTAGTGAAGAGGCAAGGAAGAAAGACATGGGTGGAAATCAATTCCATGCCCTCGTCACAGAAAATAAAAGTAGAGGCAGAGGCAGGGGAAGAAGCACAAGTAGAGGATGCAGCAAGGGGAGATCTCAAGACAGAGGGAAGTCCAAAGAAGGTATGAGCCGGTCAAGGTTCAAGTGTTACCATTGTGGCCTGGACGGTCACATAAAGAAATATTTCTATGCCTTGAAGGAAGAACAAAAACAAGGCAATAGACAGTCAAAGACCGAAGATAGGAACACTGCAGTTACTGTCTCAGAGGATATTGCATTATTCTCTGTTGAAGAAAAAGAATGTCTCCATATGTCAGACAACGACATCGAGTGGGTGGTAGATACAACAGCTTCCTACCACGTCACACCCCGAAAGGAGTTCTTCAGTACATACCAAGCTGGAGATTTTGGTACAGTGAAGATGGGCAACTCCAGTTTTTCGAAGATTATTGGAATCGGTGATGTTCGAATCCAAACCAAAGTTGGGTGCACGATCGTGTTGAAAGATATCAGGCATGTTCCCGATTTACGCCTAAATCTTATTTCAGGGATAGCCTTAGATTGACAAGGCTATGAAAACTACTTCGGCAAAGGCATGTGAAAATTGAAGAAGGGATCTCTGGTGGTAGCCAGAGGATAAGCAATTGGTATGTTGTACAAGACTCATGTGAATGTGATTTCAGATAGCCTCAACGCGGTAGAAGATGAGGCATCACCAAATTTGTGGCACAAAAGGCTGGGTCATATGAGTGAGAAAGGGTTGCTGTAGAAATTTAATGTATAAAGAAATAGAATAATGTATATATTGATGTTATTGATGCTATTACAAATGGTTCCTTATATAGATGTAGGTGTAGTGAATGGTGGTGGTAGGTGAGTGTAGTAGGTGAGTGTGTGGTAGCTGATGGTAAATTTTAACAGCCCCCCGCAAACTCAAGGAGGACAGGAACTAACCAACTTGAGTTTGGAGAGAGTAACAAAACAAGAAAATACATAAAAATAAAAGAGGATAGGAGACACTGTATGGTCGTGTCAGACCATTGGTGAAGACACTGGATGGTGGTGTCATAACGTTGTAGAGGACACTGTATGGGGGTGTCATAACCAAGTAGAGGACACTGTATGGTGGTGTCATAACGGTGTAGAGGACACTGGATGGCGGTGTCAGACCGATGTAGAAGACAGTTTATGGGGTCATGTCGGACCGATGTAGAAGACAGTTTATGGGGTCATGTCGGACCGATGTAGAAGACAGTTTATGGGGTCATGTCGGACCGATGTAGAAGACAGTTTATGGGGTCATGTCGGACCGATGTAGAAGACAGTTTATGGGGTCATGTCGGACCGATGTAGAAGACAGTTTATGGGGTCATGTCGGACCGATGTAGAAGACAGTTTACGGGGTCATGTAGGACCGTTGTAGAAGACAATGTT